CTCCATCCCCATCTTCCAGCTCAGGGGGCAATTTTGTTCCAATTTAGAACATACTAGCATGTTATTGTGATGCTCAGACATTTGTGGTCATTGGAAAGTCTATTCTAGGCTTTGAAATCTATTAATAAAAATCTTCAAGCAAGTTTAAGAGAAGGTCCAGTCAAATTTGGTATCAAAGAACCTTGCTGTTACTATTATTTGTTAAAGTGTTGTTTTTTCAAAATGATGCAGTGAACAGCATGTTTGTAGGATGGCAAGTATGAGGAGAGGAACCATGTATCACCATTAAACAAAACACTAAAGCAGACTTAGGCAGAAAGCTTTCCATCCAAGTTCAGGGAGCAATAAAGTAGTGTTCTTTAGCTGATAACAGATCAGGGAACTCTTCAACTTTTTGACTGAAGGGATAGATTTGTTCTCTGCTTCATGTACTTTCCACTTCAAAGGGAATAAAAATGGGACTTTTTGGGTTCACCAGAGAGCCTACTTTCTATTTAGCACAAAGCAGTAATAAGCAGTAGGAATGTTTCTGGCAGTTATTCTTGAAAACAGCCGTTGATAATTAGATAGAAGTCCTGCGCTCACCTTTATGTAATCAATTCCTAGATGTTCATTATCAGATACTGCCTCTATTTCTGAGTATACTCTTTCACCCAGGCAGAACTTCTTCCAGCCTTCTTCATCCTCTGATGTTGGCTGAAGTAAATAAAAATAAATGAAAACTGTGAAACATTGCTATCTTGGAGACACTAAAGAAAAGACTTGATAATATTCACAAGTTGCTGCATTAAACTATAAAACTATAACCACAAATTTAATGACTGGAAAACATGCTGGGCAGCACTGTTATGAATTCTACTCACCATAGTAACATTGCTGTCCAAATGTTGTGACCGCCAGTGCTTTCTGTGCTTGTTCAGGCTCTGGATAATTAAAACAAAGCCAAACCACAGTTAACTTTGCAGTTATTTTATCCTAGCCATAACTGCTCTTCATTATTTTTAAAATGTATAAAAAGTGTATTTTAAGATGTTCTATAGATCAGTAGAGGCATAACTGGCTAAATATTTCCCACGCCTCTTAGTATAAATCTAACTAAATTGGTCATGCTGGGTTTTTGGAAGTAATGTCAAAGCTGAAGGAATTTTAAAGTCTACTACATGAAGCTTGAATAGTCTTCTAGACTTTTCTTGGTATAACAAGCTTAAGAAAAAACAACTGGTGTAGTCCAAAAACACACATAAAGCAAATATCCTGTTTCCAACAGTGGTCTGTATCAGGTGTCTACAGAACTGTTAGAAAGAAGGCAAGTGTGCTTTCCTACTATATTTCTTCTACCTGACAGGGATGCCATCTAAGACAAATTGGCTTCCTTGACAGTTTCCTGTACAGAGGTGTAAATTTTTTGTAACAGAAGAAATTTTTCCCTAATCCAATTGTTACTGTAGCAGTAAAAATGACCACTAAAAATGTTGTAAGTAACAGTAGCTTGTTAGTGTTTGACAAGTGACTTCTGATGCTCTTTTTCTGATCCTTTTTTAGGATAGTCTCATACTTCACAGTGTTAATTCCAGCACAGATGAAAGGACAATTGATTTGTGTATGAAAGAAATTCCTGTACAGTGAATATACCTTTTAGATGCCAGTTTCTTATTTCTACTAGAACCTTAGATTATGTCTAATATACAGTATGCAGTGTGATACCTTGTAGAAATAGGGGCTAACTCAGTTAATGTTTGCAGTATAGATGCAGTAGATTTACACTCCACCTCCACTGATTTACCATGATTTTTATGTAGATATCTACCTCCACTGATTTACCTCCCTGAAAAAACAGGGTAAATGAGCTACAGCAGCTTCAGTGCAGTTGGTTATCGTTCAGTTACTTGAGGTATTCCTACAATGAAGTATCAATGCACTGTAAACATGCCTTCCACAGTACTGGAGTCATAAATTCTCCCTACCTACATCTTTGTTATGTTTTGCATTTCATGCTGTTTGAACCATGGGTAGAGAGAGAGACTGCTCAATTCTCCATTTTTGTTCTGTTATTTAAGAGCAGGGTGCAAATGTGGTAGGAAAGATTTAAGTCCGTGCTAACACCTTACAAGTACATTTTACCAAAGCAGTGTTTCTCCTCATAATGGGTGCCACCACTGTCAACAGTACCCTATATGGACAGCATGTTCTATGTACATGAATCTCCTGTTGGGTTAGAATCCAGTTGTTTTT